AGAAAAATGTAAAAGGTTACTTTACAAATGTAAATTTTCTGTGTAGCTAAATGGATGGCATGACTCAGACACCTTATAAATTAGAGTCGCTGTCCCTTAATGAATAAAAGATGACTGTCTGTCCGTCTCTTTCTCTGACATTAGTCCGCATGTCATTCCCTAAGGCCTCTCCCGAGGGAATATAATCAGAGAAGCACTTAAACTTTCTCCACAGCTCAAGAGAGATGTGATCAAGGGACATTTATTTCCAGAGCCACACAGACATCCGGGATGTCTCTGCACCATCACAGCCATGCTAATGTCTGTTCATCGCTCCGGCCATGAATGAAATACCTCAGAAACTATTGGATTGATTTCCATGAAATTTATGGCTGAATCCTACTGACTTTGGTGACCTTGTGATTTTTCCACTAGCGCCACAAGCACATTAGAGTTTTCACATAGCTTGTGGTATATCTCATCATCCACAGGATGGGTTGGCACAAAACAGACATGCATGGTTCCCAGATAATGAATTCTACCGTCTTTGTTGATCCCCTGACTTTGTCTCTAGCGCCACCATCAGGTCAAAATATTAGCTTAATTTGTCCCACCTGCAAACTAATGACATCCCCATCAGCTTCAGCTGTGCTTTGTGTTTGGCACCAACATTTTAGCTTCCTAAAATGCTAAACTAAGATGATGAACATGTTAAACATTATACTTTCAGAATATACAGTATGTCATCATGCTGACGTAAGCATTTAGCTCAAAGCACCACTGTGCCTAAATACAGCCTCGCAGAGCCACTAGAATGGCTGTTTTATGCTATTAGAGGCAACTTTATTAAACTAGCACAACTGGTGCACAAGTAAATTGGCATGTCATCAACATGGGACTCATTGTGAAGAGAAAAATGAACTCCCGCAAACACCCTAAGAGGAAAGAAATCATTGGCTTGGCTGGATGGGCAGTAGCATAGCCTAATTAGATACAAGGAAAACAAATAAGACAAACAACAAAAATAAATGTTCCATTACAGTTGTATGGTGGCAATAGTGTGGTCAGTGGTAATGGAGCAAATGTTAATATTTCCTGTGGCGATGGCCTGAAGGCAAATGCTTTTTGAGAGAAACGAATGCAAATCGACTTGTGGGGTCAGAGCTTACAGTAAAACCCCACATAAACACTGATCGGCAGACGCTAGGACAGGTTTGCCAGATGATGATCATGATCCCCACCCTTAGTTTTCTCTTAAAGACATTACCTTCACCCGTTTTCCAGGAACTGTGTGAATGGATGCTGCTGTGCATGCCTTGCAAAACATCCAAACCAGCCCATTTTCTCAAGTGCAACCAGATGTCCATGACCTCAGCCAGCTGAGCTGTTCTTCCTCCAAAATGGCCCACTTCCCCCTCACATGCTCTTTGGGCCTGTTTCAATGCCTTTCAGTCAGCCACATTCCAGTTTGAGGCATTCAAGTGCAATGTGCAGGGTAGCCTAATTTCATAGGTTAATAAGGGAGTTGGGGTGGTCCTATATTTAACATGGAGAGTCAAAACCACATTAAAAGGCCCTTTGGCTGTCTCTGAGCTCTTTCCCTGTGGACCGACTGGCCCTTTTAATACAAGACAGCTTCAATGTGGCCTCAATAGGAAAACAGAGTCTACACTGAATGTAGCAGAGTTACAGTCCTCACCAGTCATTGTCATGCATATACTGTAGGTATAGAATTGTCAGAATTTTAACACTTAGACCCAGAGAGGGGAACTGTCACTGCAACCTATTTGTTATCTCATTTTAATTTTGTCCTCTGTATTTCTTCTATTTAATCATACATTTATTTTTATGACAACCATAGAATTGTGCTGTGTAATCCAAGATGGCGACGGCCAAAGGGCCTAACTCAAAGCTTCAAAACGGCAGTCCACAAACCAATGGGTGATGTCACAATGACTACGGCCATTTCTTATATACAGTCTCAGGGTGCATGGCTTGAGAATATTGTTCTCAAGCCGTCGTTTGTATATTCTGATAATGAGCCTGCATGTGACGTAGAAGGGGAGCCAAATCTGAATGGATTGTTGAATCATGTTTTTTGATCTGAAAAACGGGCTGGGTTGTCTTATTTCACAGTTTGTGGGTTAGTAGGAACTCAAAATACCCAAATATGTGTGCATAATCACTGAATATAGGAGATTGTACTTATATGTCCCCTTTAAGTTAGTGAAAGGTAGCTAGTAGCAATAGCTTAAACAAGTGTAGTGGAAACGCAGCAATATACCCCTTTGTATTTGTATCTGTATTTGTTTCTCTCTCTGGTGACTCTCTTCCCTTCTGGAACCAAAGGCTGGTCTGCATAAGGTGAACTATTTGTTATAACATTATTTATTTATTACCTTTCATTTGGTTAAAACCACTAATGGTGCACCACTGTTGCAATGTTTAAAATGTACACTTCAGGGTCAAGATTTGTTAGTCATTATAGGGTATGCCTGCCTGCAAGGAATAAATGTAAGTAAATGCCATATACAAGTATAGTACAATTTTTTTTGTGTGTGGGTGTGTTTAGTGTGTGACTGTATGTGTCAGATTGGGTGTTGCCACGCATTGCCCATGTTAAAGGGAGACTTCTCAGATTAGTCCATTCATTCAATGCTCATTTAATTTAATCTGGAGGAAGCAGATGTTCATGAGCAGCAAACAGTCATCCCTTACAATCAGCCTGAGGTCTCTTTCCTCCGATCCTCCCTTTGATATTGTCTTCCCTCCACTTGTTGATTTGCATGCACTACATGGTGTATAAAGAATGAAGGTGAAATGTGACTCCTTTGGTTATAGTCATCAGAGGAGCAGACTGAAAGAGAGCTGGTTTTATGAAACTCTTGATTTCTGGTATTTTCTTTGTGGAGTAGATTTAGCTCGGTAACCAGTCAACTTTCATGCTTTCTCTCATTTTATTCTCGGCTCACATATCCACCACCACCTACCAACCTAAACACACACACACAGGGGAGCATACACAAGTGTTTGGTAGTAATATTTATTCATGAAGACATTTCACTGACTATATTCATCCTCAAACCCAGAGCAGCTCTTTATAAAAGCGAGGACCAGCACAATGTCCTCACTTTGGGGAATTGTCCTTATTTTCTCTAACCTTGTGAAAATGTGTGGGCTTATCTAAATATTGAGGAAACCCCTCTCCACAAACTGTCCATGCAGGTGATCAAGTTCTTATCATAAAGGAACAATCTACACATGTACAGTAATTATCCATTCATCCTCATTGTTCTGATTTAAGAATACTGGAACAAAGAGGATGAGGAAAATGGGAAAATGTTTGTTTGAACATTTGTGGCAAAACATGATCCTGTTCCACAAATGAAGCGATAACTGTTAAGTCAACAGGCAGCTAATGAGAAAGAAAATTTGGTTTGAGCAGATTCTGTAACTCAAAACACTGGATGGATTGTGAAGCCCTGATCAAGGACCTGCTACAAAGGTCCTGAGCTGTGCTTGACCCCTGCTTGTTGTTGGCGTGTTAAGCATAGGCCACTAGACCCCCAAATTAAATCTTTAAAAAAGTGGAGCCAATGAAACACTTTGTTTTCAGCACACCTCTCAGCTTTAGTGAAAAACTATAATACTCAGGTCAAAATGGAAATAGAAATAGAAGCCACAGGTGTTTTTTATATATATATAATTCATGAGCACAGCATTTATGATCAGCTTGACGAGCTACAGATTACAGATAACCGCTAACGTCTGTAAGTCTTCTCTGACCTCTTGTCTTCTTCATCAAGCTTTAGTGTAGTTACTGTAATGCTTTGGCTCCTTCCATTCAGGTTGATTTAATTAAGGAAATGATTTCCACCTGCAGGTGAGAATTTCATTTTTTTGTAAAAATAAAAAACTCGTGGTCCCTGGTAACTCTCACAGTTTTTTTTTATTTCAGCACCTTGGACAGCAACCCCCAGGGGCAGAAAGTCCCTGCAACCAAAATACAAATGTTTGCCAACTAAGTTGAGCAATTAGAGGCGACAACTGGAGCAATAACAGGTGACTAAGAAAACTTTTTGTGGTCAGTTTAGAAATTGATACTTCCCCAAACTGCTTGTGAAGTATCATCACATTATTTTTATTGTTGCTAAAATGACATATACGTCCTATTTCTTGCTTTTGCATGTATCATGATAATACATTCGGGGATACTTGTCACTTTTAGGGCTGAATATCATGACATTTAAAACAATGGTTGGAAAGGCTAAATGGCACAGTGCATCTAATAATCCGAGAAAGTAAAAAAAATGTCACGTTTCAGATGGGAAAGGCAAGGTCTCTATCTCTCTCTCTCTCTCCTGATTATATCTGATCACATCTGTCACAGGTCCAGTGATGCTGTGTACTGTAGTTTCCCTTCTGACATTCACAATATTAGCCCTTAAATATGACATGGATTGTGTGTTCCTTGATGTCATGTTAATTTGTATTTCTTTAGATCATACTTGTTTTACGACAAAGTTGGTCTTATTTTACTTGAACAACACATTTCTATCTCTCACATCGAGCTGTTCTCTCCGCTGCCGTGTTTACTCCTCTTCACTCACACGTTTGGGACGCAGGCATTAAGGGCATTATGGGCAACTTCAGGTCTCAGATGGATGCCAGTCACTCCAACCATCACTTTGTGCGTAATTAATAAACTAACGACGGCAGAATTAAGTGCAATAGTCCATTTCCAAACATATTTAATTATACCATCGCACACCCAAATATGTTTCTTGGGTGAAGAAAAGATATCGTCTAACACTTGATGCTGGTGTGTCTTTTAAGAATGTCCGGAAAAAAGAATTAGGCTCTGATATATTTATGAGTAGCCTATTTGAAAATGCCCTATCTGTGGGCAATGACCTTGTTTAAATATGACTGTTGTGTGGGTGCTGAAGCGCGTGTCTACAAGACGGAGAGGGGGACAGATGGAGGCGGGCACGCCCAAACGACGGAGTTGAATGACGCCCGTCTGTTGCTTCTTGTGTATATCGCTGCGTCCTGCGATTGGCGGAGGACAAGGAAAGGTACCCAGCGCTGGCGCGCCATGGGCGGGTGGATGGCCTGTTTATAAACCCAGCTCGTTCCTCGTGGGCGGGAACAGCAACAGTAGAGAGTGAAAGTGAAGCGCAGGGAGAAAGTGAGAGAGACGGTGGAGGAGAAGAGGCTGTGGTGGCGGCTGTGGGTGACCGGGGTTCGCGGAGGGGGCGAGGCGGCCGCCCCTGAATGCCTCTTCAACCGCGCATGGACGACCACCTCAGCCTCCTGCAATCACCCCCGCCGAGCGCAACCAAAACCCGGGGCGACAACCTCGTGAACCACGGATACATAGAGACAGAGGCCGACGTCATGACTGTTGTCGCGTGTGACAACATGCTAGAAGAGTCGGTGGCTCTCCCGGGCCACCACTCTCTGGACCGATATGAACCGGATCACGAATGCTGCGAGAGAGTCGTCATCAACATCTCAGGGTTACGCTTTGAGACGCAACTCAAGACTCTCTCCCAGTTTCCAGAGACTCTGCTGGGGGACCCCAAGAAGAGGATGAGGTACTTTGATCCTCTCAGGAACGAGTACTTTTTCGATCGAAACCGACCAAGCTTTGATGCCATTCTTTATTACTACCAGTCTGGCGGGCGCATCAGGAGACCCGTTAATGTGCCAATTGACATTTTCTCTGAGGAGATCCGCTTCTATGAGCTGGGTGAGGAGGCTATGGAGAAGTTTAGGGAGGATGAGGGCTTTATAAAGGAGGAGGAGCGGCCGTTGCCAGAGAATGAATTCCAAAGACAGGTGTGGCTGCTTTTTGAATACCCAGAAAGCTCGGGTCCCGCACGGGGCATAGCGATAGTGTCTGTCCTGGTCATTCTCATCTCCATTGTCATCTTCTGCTTAGAGACATTGCCGGAGTTCAGGGACGATAACAGGGATTCGATCACCATTACACCTGAGTTTAATGGCACACTCTCCTATTTCACCAGCCCCTTCTCTGACCCGTTCTTTGTTGTGGAGACGTTGTGTATCATCTGGTTCTCCTTCGAGCTGCTGGTGCGCTTCTTTGCATGTCCTAGTAAAGCCACGTTCTCCAAAAACATTATGAACATTATTGACATTGTGGCCATCATTCCGTATTTCATCACTCTGGGCACAGAGCTGGCAGAGAGGCAAGGAAACGGACAGCAGGCCACGTCACTAGCCATTCTGCGCGTAATCAGGCTCGTTCGGGTTTTTCGCATCTTCAAACTCTCGCGTCATTCCAAAGGGCTCCAAATTTTAGGACAGACTCTGAAGGCCAGTATGCGTGAGCTGGGCCTGCTAATCTTCTTCTTGTTCATCGGTGTCATCCTCTTCTCAAGTGCTGTCTACTTTGCTGAGGTAGACGACCCAGATTCGGGTTTCAGCAGCATCCCGGATGCATTCTGGTGGGCTGTTGTCACCATGACCACCGTGGGATATGGAGACATGCACCCCGTGACAATCGGGGGAAAGATCGTGGGGTCTCTGTGCGCCATCGCTGGTGTGCTGACTATTGCCCTGCCTGTACCTGTCATTGTCTCAAATTTCAACTACTTCTACCACAGAGAGACGGAGGGAGAAGAGCAGGCACAGTACCTGCACGTGGGCAGCTGTCAGCCGCTAAATGACGCAGAGGAGCTGAAGAAGACACGCTCCTCTTCCTCGCTTAGCAAGAGCGAGTATATGGTGATAGAGGAGCATGGCATCAACAGCACGTTCAAGCAGCCGCCCAACTTCCTCACTACCACGCAAATCAACTCGCAGAATTGTGTGGATGTAAACAAAAAGATTTTCACCGACGTGTAGCCAATTATAGAGCCGTGGCCCTGAACACAGGAAGGGGTGGTGCGTAAACACAGCTGCTTCCGTCGCTGCGCACCACAGAAGCTGCGCTATCAGACGAAGAAAGAAAGAAAGAGAGCGATCCCTGTCTGTTCAGAGACGCTGCTTTGTGCTCCATTAATAGAATCAGGATGTTCCATGTCGGTGATCTGAATTCGAAATTCTGTTTTCCTTTCGCGCTTGGAGAGAAAGAGCTCCCATTATTAGGCCTGTTATTGTGCAATAGCCAATATTTTAATCACAACATAGAAGCTTTATAACTGTGAAGGATGAGTACAAATGTATGTTACTCGAAGAAAACTCACGCTGTATTAACATGCATTGAGTCGTGATCCGTCAGTCATAGCCATAATCATTATTCAGAATCATTTAAAAATGTGTGTTTAAACACATTGTCTGAAAACATAGTTCTGCATATATTATCTCAATTAGACCGTTCTGTGATATGCCTTTATTGTTAAAGTCTAGTCCAAATGCTACTGTCTTTAAAAATAATCCCCTTTAATTCCTTGATATGGACTGCCCCACTAGGCTATTTAATGTGTAAACGGCACCATATAAACACAGGAGCACGCCGACTGTCGGTGTCTCATCGTTGGTGCGGAGAAACACAGCCCTCTTTCATGCACACACAACGATCAAAGATGTAGCTTTCTCTTTGGATGCCTCAAATATAGCCCGCTGTGATGCAGTCGCCATGGCGATGGTGGTTTCCGCGGTAACCCCAGTCACCGTTGCCATGGCACCCTTGTTTCCACAGTAACCTTCCAGGTGGCTTGGAAGCTTATTTTAAGATTCTCGTCTGAAAAGCTTGTCCTCGGTCTCTAATAAGAGTGTTCTGTCATCACGCTTTGATGACAGTGCGAACAAATACACGACCAGACATGCCCAGCGCCACTACAACCAACAAGCTCACTCAGTGACTTTAGCATTGACACAAAGAAAAATTGAAGTAAGATGGTCTGTTTACAAATTGCCACCTTGTGCTGCCCGCCCAAAATGAAGCAGGCACAACTCAGAGGCGATGAGCCGGGAGAAGTGGAAGGAGAGTTGGCGCGTGAGGAATTATGAATGGACTGGGAGCGCTTTGTGTCTGGCTGTCTTGAGTGCGCTACTGGGGTCGCTCAGCAGAGGCTGCTGTTCTCCCACTGATAAAACTGGTAGGTTCTAATCCCTGTCATGCCCCTGGCTAAACGTAAAGGGGTAGTTCATAAAGAGTATGAACTACCCCTTTACCTTTAGCCATGAAACCAGTGTTTGTTTGTTTTTTAGGCAATTCAAGCAGGTCATATGTATCTAGATAAATGTATCTGTTTGAGTTACACCTCACAGGTGCAGGTCAAACAGTTCCTACAATTACTGTTTTACTCAATATCACAAAATATGACAATTTTTTTTTTTGTCATAACTTGTATTAATGCTAACAATATACTGATGTCCAACAAGTTGCAGGTGTGTACCTCCATCAGCTCCATCAGCCTGAGTGTGTAGGTTTTTCTGTTTAGTGTCATGGGGGTGGGGGGTGGGGGGGGCATTTAACATACAGCTGACTTGGTCTATGAAATAAACATGGGCACCAACAACAGGCCCATCTTGTCTCAATGCTGCTCCCTGGTGGCCATCATCTCCTAACAGATCAGGTGGCTCACCTTGCCTTGTGACCGTTGTCTTCCTCTGCCATTGATATCAAAGAGTCACAGAGGTCAAATATCCACGAGATAACAGGCTGCAGGAAGCGAAAGCTTCTGGGTTGACACCATTGTTAACTGCATTCTGAGCTGTTGCAGATTGTGGTCCTTTTCAGGGGTTTTCCTGTATTTTATTTGCTAAAAACAGCATATTATCACTAGCATGTTTAAAACAATTCATCTTTATTGTAGATTCAGTGTGTGAATTTGGATGAAGGCCCATTGAAAATAATGTTTTCTGTACATCACTCTTGTCTTTGAAACTGCTTTGCAATATAGGTTTACTGACAGTAACTACTCTAATTCAAATAGAGATGAGGGAGATACAATTTTAAAAGGGCAGGATTGGGAATCTGTCAAGCAGCCATGTTTTGAATCTATTTAGTTCGACTGTGTGTGCACTTGAACTTGTGCTTGTGGGCACATGTGTGTGGAAGTATACAAATACTATATGTTTACCTCTCCAGTCATGGTTGAGTGAAAATAGTGCGGTCTCATTAACTGACTTACCCTGAAGGCAAAGTGAGAGGTCCCACAGAATGAATGACCTCTTCTTTGATTATTCTTTTCCGTTTTGACCCCTGATCTTGACTTCATATATTTCCAGTGAAAAACTCCGTATTGGTCATCAGTTAAATTGCCTACTCATTTCTTAGGTCACATAAAAGCTTCAGTGAGGAGAAACACTGATCTATTGATCAGTGAGCAAGATGTATTATGGAGGAGACAGGAGCTACTTGTTCAACATTGAACTGGATTGGTCAGTCTGGAAGCTATTTTATTAAAATAAGGCACTTTACCATGCACATTCGTCTTTTCTATTTTTACCCTTCCCCCCTTTGCTAATGTGTATCTCTGAAGCTTAATCCAGTCTCACATTTGTTTCTTAACAAACTCCAATTACCTCTCCTAACCTCTGCTCCTCTTTCTTAAGTTTATTACAGTGTAGACATTTAGTTGCTCTTATACAGAGTAAATTGCAGTGAGTGAGCAGTTATGATGCACATCTGCTTCACTCAAAAACAGCTTAATGGAAAATGTGTCAGTGGGGACAGTTCTAGTAAAATGTTTCCCTTGTTACAGGACCTTTGGAGACTCTCTTATCCAAAAGTTGCCGTCCCCTCCTCTCCCCTCCTCTCCCCTCCTCTTCCCTCCTCTCCCCTCCTCTCGCCTCCTCTCCCCTCCTCTCCTCGCCGTCTGAACTGTGTTTACAGTTCGTTTGAGTTTTGCACGAGTGGTAATGAGAAAGCAGGGAGAAGAGGAGCAGCCTTGGTTTGATGGGTCTGGCTATGCTGTGTGGCTCTAACAATTTTGCTTTTTCTTCTCTCTCTCTCTCTATCTCTCTCTCTCTCTCACACACTCTCACTCTCACTCTCTCTCAGGTGAAGGTCGTTCCATTTTTCTGCACAAACCTTCTGGAACCTCTGACCGCAATTATACTGCCTCACATTTAGGTAATCAGACTCCATTTGATAAGAAAAATAAATGTGACATTGTGACATTTCAACTAACATTCACTGATATTTTCTTAGAAATGTTTGCTCAGTTTAAAGCTTTATAGATTACCCATTAACCTGTAGTGACCCTTTTTTCTCTTTAGGGGCACAATGACTCTGGTCTTCCTGTTGGGCCAGATTGGCTAAATTTAAGAGCTTAGACAGAACTCAACTGGATCCATTTTTCTTCCCTTACACTCCTCCTAACTGCTGTCCTCATGGACTGCATACCAGCCCCCCCCCACAACCACTGAATTGAATGCAATCACAAGAATGACTAAAAACAGACATATAACATATTCTAAATACAGCTTTGTAGCTGCAGTTTCCGGACTGCTTCTCTTCTGAAGTTAACGCACTGTGAGTGGAACCATCAAAGATCGAGACTGATTCAGGCAGTGACAGAATTCAGCTGGAACTGTGTTATGGACATTTCTCCATACTGCTTTCTATATAAACTCCAAAAGGACAGCCAGCAATTTTGCAAAGCACATTTAATTCCTGGACTTTACACATTCTGTTTTCATATTTCTGAGTAATGATATGACATTACGGACAATAACTGACAAACAGCTTTTACGGCAAGTCAAAAGTGGCAACAACTGAGGCCAACCGGGATTTTCTGATATGAAACTGTGATACAAATCAAAGACTGTTAGCCATATGCCTTTTTCTTAGCTCATTGTGCTCTGTATTGCTAATATGTAAAAAAAAAAAAAATATATATATATCTGTGTGTGATAGTTGCAGCTATTCCCCTGACCTGCACATGGAGAAAGATAGAGAGACATGCATGCACTGTACACACAAACACAGGCACACACACACACTCACACATATCCATGTGCCTGTGAATGGCTCTCTTTTATCCCAGGGTGCACTGGTATTTTTTTGGGAGATGGGGCAGAATAATGTCAGGGGGAGGCTGTGTATGCCAGTATTTGTTCTGTGTTATTCTGTGCCATCTTAAACACGACCCATATAAAGAGATTATGAGTTGTACTGTCTTTATTTTGGAGGAGCTGCAGTCTGTTTTCACTCAATTACTGAGAGAATGGTACTCATTTATGTTTTGGAGAATATCTAGGTCCAATTACAGACCTTCTTGCCTGATATGTGTGAGTACTGTATGTTTTGATTATGTCATGACGAGAGACATTTGAAACAACTTTCTCTGTGTGGATGTTATACAGTTAATCCACTTATCATTCACTCCAGTATGGTGTTGTTTAATAGATGCAACCTATTCAATTTGTATTTCATTATTCACCAGGATAAAGGTGAAAAAAGCATGCCATTGTTTACAGTAGGACACAAGATCCAGTGATTTCAGTGCTTTTACAATATCAAAATGTGATTCTGTGCATGACAAATACGATAGTGGCATTATAAAAGCTGTAATCGTTCAATGTTAATCTAATTTCACAAGATAATCGCATCATTAGCATCCATAAATATGCTGTTGGCACTGCTGTTGAATTGTCACTGTTTAATAAGTGTTTCTCATGCAGAGCCGTACACAGTCCTATGGTGTTTGGCTCGCAGCAACAGTCTCCACCGTGATTGTGCTGAACAGACAGAGCAAGGGAACCTCTCTGTATCAGGGTGACTGGGCCAGTTCTTTATGAGAGTATACTTCATCTATTTGCAAACATCAATGCAATAAACATTGACAAATAAAATACTCTATTTCTGTCTGACAGATTTAATAACTGCAACATCACCAGGGATTGAAATTTGGCTTGGAAAAGAAATAGTGATACCCAATTTCAAGAGAACATTATTGCCACACATTAGGCTGCATGGCTGAACCCTAAAGAGACCTGAGCTGTGTATGAGTCCAGTGGAAAACTTCATATCATCTCTGTGGCGCAGGAGGTAAATATTAACATTCTAACAGATGTTTACAGCCATCACACTGTCATCCTGTGTATGAGCAAGTGTGCTTTATTGCTCCAGTGAGCCCACCAGCTCGCTAATAACTCTGCCACATCTCTAGGCTATTGTGTGTCCACGAGTACCAAACCGCCTTTATTTAAGGTGATTGGATATGTGGTAATAGTTGTTGACTAAATACTCCAGATGTTTATCAGTGCAGCACAATTATGGACAACCCGTATCGCCTTTTAAACTATTTATCTACCTGGCTCTTTGCTGTTTTTTTTTTCTTTCTCTCTCTGGCTTTACTACTATACATGTTGGTGAAAGATATCTGCCTTTGAGATCACAAAAATACCTATGACGTCATCAAAGCTCACCGCCAGCCATGGCGCTTCACCAGGGAAATCGCCATAGCAACAAGGGAAGGTTGTCGAGCGAGTTGAAGAGACTGTAGAACAGACTCGGCCCTCTTCAGGTGCACTGAAGGTATCAAGCTGTCTGCAATCACATCATCAGTGTTTATGTGCACATGACTTCTGAGAAGGGCGAGTGTGGGTCGTGCGTCACTTTGTGTGTCTGTGTGTTTTGAGTGTGTGTCTGGAAGAGGATCGGGGTATTGCCCATGTGGGTTGGGTCTCACCATGCAGGGACTCCATTTGAACGGCACGTCCAAGTGGAGATGATGCCAACAGCAGATTGAATGTGCACGCGCACACATACACAAATGTCAGCATAAGAGGATCACAGAGTGTCAGCAATAGCTAATTCTCCTACATATGTGGCTGAACTACTTCATTCTCATTCACCCGCCCCTGCACTCAGGTCAAACATGTCAAATTATCTGTCTGTCCCACGCACTCGCCTTAAGACCCGTGGTGACCGAGCCTTTGAGGCAGTAGCACCGAGGTTGTGGAAGGCTCTGCCTGCACCCCTACGGTTTGCTGTTTCTGTGAACTTGTTCAAAAATCAGCTCAAGACACACCTGTTTAGACTGCCATTTGGGTAAAAACTCATCTCCTAGGCCTGCTTTTATGTTTTAATTTTGTACTTTCTGTTTTCTGTGCTTTTTTAAATGTAAATTATTGGCCCTCAAATGGTCACATTGTGTTTTTTATGTTTGTAATTCTGCTCCTGTTAAGCACTTTGTGACTAATGTCTGTGAAAAGCACTTTATAAATAAATCTTACTTACTTACTAATGACTAAAGGATATTCTAACATCTTTAGGAAGTTGGAATGACTGATTTTATTTTTGTTGTGGGGTCACTTGGGGGGCAACAGAAACAATGTGTCAATACAACATTGACATATGATCAGCTTTAAGTTGATATGGGTGTGTTTGTGTCCACCTGGTAATATTCTCTCTCTCAGCTCTGTTTTTGGTCTCTACTAACTGCGTAGGTGCTAAATCTTTAACTGCTAAATGATCCGCTTTGTTCACAATTAATAAACAATTGTCTGTTTGCCGTTGGTGCTGAGCCGAGCCAAACAACACTGTGAGAGTGAACCAAAACAGTTGACTCTCACTCCCTTTTGAAATGAATACAATAATGATTACAAATGTCCCTAACATACAAAACATGATAGAAGATAAGATAACACTTTTGATTTCCCTCACACCTGCCACCTACAATGCATTTTTCTCTGTGACTTGCAGTTATGTGTTATTTCCATGTTCAGTAGCAGAGCCATGCCATTGGTAGCTGGGAAGGATGGTTGCTAAGGGTGATGATGCTGTTGCTAGTGCTTCTGACTAATTCTGGATGCTGATTGGCTGATCAGTTACAGTTTCCAGCCACAAGCTGAGTAGACAAGGTGGGACTGCCCATCCAGACATGTGTATTGTATGTAAACACACAAAACAATCTCAGACAAACACACTCAAACACATGCAGGCGCACAAATAAAAAAACATTCAAAACAATACCTGCAGCATATTCAGACACAGATGACATAATAGATTTTTTTTTCTAGCTGTTGGAGGGGTGATCTGCTGCCAGTCATCTCGGTTTTTGCTGTCAAAACAAACAGATGGTGGAGAGGGTGATAGTGTGAAACAGCGAGAGATGCTGCTGTGCTCTGCTGGATGACTCATCACTCTGTCACTGTGACCTTTATCTGCTACCCTCTCCACCTCTGTTGTCCCGTCTCCTCCATTCATTTTCATTTTCTGCACATGTTTAACTTCATTTCCTGCTGACTGTGTTCGTCTCCTCACTTGCTCCTCCACCAAGCCTCTTCTCTGCAACGCGTATGAGCTCTTCCTGACGTCATTCCAACCTTTTCCTCGCTTTTCCGTCCTCCCTTGCGTCCTCCGCTCCTGTCACCATCATTTCTGTGGGGTCGGGTGTTGCCGTCCTCAACGAGGCTCCGGTATGCTGGCTCTGACACGGTGCTGCCACAAGTCCCTGTCAAGTAAGACACACACCACCGACAGAATGGCAACAGACTGGGGCTCATATACATTAGCTGTTGATTTGATTGAACTGACTAGACAGGCTGCACTTAACTGCTGCTTGCAGTGTGGGAAGAAAACACTTGCTAGGGGAGATTTGCACGTCATTCAATTAATGTTTCAAAGCATGCTGCTGAGCCTCATTGTAAAGGAGATCTCTTCATATGGCAAACATATTCAGCTGTGCATACTCTTGCAGTATAGATATCATTAATATACTCCCAACTTTCCTCCCTAAGCTAAGCCACACCTCCAGACCAGTTGGGTCATTGATTTTCTTCTCTCTTGTTTTCGAAGGCTGTGAGAACAACATAAAGTGAAACCACATCCAGAATCAATAATAGAGTACTCTACTCCAAAGGTGAGGACATATCTCATCATGAAAGCAGTGATCCTCATCAGCCTGGCTGCTCTCAACAGGCAGGTAGGCAACTTCCAAGGTCAATCTCTAAATATAGAGGGACCCCAGAGGGAGACATGCAGGGAGAGAGATAAGTGAGGGGAGAAAATGAAGAAGGATGAAGGGACAAAAAAAAGCTGATGTGGTAATTAAGTTTCTTGGCTCATTGTCATAGAGGAGAATGCCTGTTGCGGAGTGCTATTTAGATGCCTACACGCAAAAATGAATTAGGAATAAAATCAGGATTTCCTTGTGTTCACAGGGAAATGGAAGGTAAACAGTTTCTTGTCTTGGAGCTATAAAGAAACATGGAGTCAGTATGACTTTGTCTAAATGTGTGTGTCAGTGTGTGCACATGTTCTAGTAGTGACTGCATGCACATGCCAATACAGTATGCTATTACATCTGTATGTGAGTGTGTTGTGAGTGAGTGATCACCTGCTGCAGCACCAGCAGAGGTCATCCAGGACAGAGCCCCTCCCCTGCAGTCTGCTGTCATAAGTTGGATCAGCGCCCTCCTCTCTCCTTCACTCCGTCTGTTACTCACGCTCATCATCCCTCTCTCGCTTCCACACATTCTGCTGCATAGAAAAGGGTGGAGATTTTTAGGCGTGCAGGTGTGCTGACTCACATACTGACACACAAATATGCTGATCATCTCACAACATATCTCAACTGAGCTATTTGTGTGGGATTGCAGTGACGGATCAAAAACTCATTTATTCTCTGAGTAGAATAATTGTATTAATTGTGCTTATATCTTGGGAACAAGGGGTTCTATGCACATTGTGTGTAGAGTGGGAACTCCCTGCACGTTCATGTTGTCCTCACTATTTCATACACATTTCTGAAATGTTGGGGTGCCCCGTTAGCCATGGGCCCCTGTCCAGCCACAGCAATGCACCAGCTGGCACAAGAGAACACGGTCACAAATTGCTCGATGAAAGAAAAAATATGTATTTTTTAAACAATGAAAAAGTGCTCAGATGTGATTACAGGCAGTCATGTGGGGTTGTTAGTTGAAAAGCATCCTTAAGTTTCTTTATGAGGTTCCATGTGGTCTGCTCGGCTGAATACAAAACAGAATCAATGGTTCCTTCTGCTGAGACTTGGCACAACCTGAAGGTGAGAGGGAACTGGAAACAGAATTGAGGATTTAAAATGGTTGGAGAATTAACAGCCCTCAAAACTCTAGATCAACTGCACAAGAAATATGAAACTATCAGTTGCCTACTTTATTCTATAGATCAGAGGTTTTCAAACACTAAGGGTCCTCCTCAGACAAAATCAAGACAGCTCTGCGCGAACACTCAAATTCATATTTAAATTTATATATTTATGGAATCCGTCGCTCCTCCTTATTTTTTGTCTTGCAGTTGGCAAACCGGAAGCATATTGTTATGGATTCAGTGAGTTCTTATGTGGGCTACAACTAAAAAATGTTTACGTTATGGCAGCATTGAAATATGCTTCATTAACCATTAGCCTTTCCTGTTTGGCTGTACAGTATTCTATAACTGGATTACTTTTATACCAAAGAAAAGGTGTAAATGTTATGATTCTCAGGCAAGTTCTGGAGGTGTTAGGAGCGGCATTTTTCTATGACCTATCAGTGTAACAGTTTTATGAGCAATGGATTTCGGGGCATAAAGGAAAGTGTAGGGCACTCTGAATCTAATTATAAATTTGTTTCCGATTATGAGATTTTTTTAACACAAATTGTGGCTATCAGGCTTTAGGGGTTCTTTTTTCTGGCTAATTACAGATCTCCCTGGACTAACATCTCTCTTAAACATATCAAACATATTGTCTCTGCACTATCTGCAAAACATTCATTGCCAGTGTTATTCTATTGTTTTCTTGTCTGTTTTTTCCCCCTAGCTGGCAGCTAAAGGTTTGGGTATGATAAGGTTAGATTGTGCCTCAGATGGTTAAGGGATCATTCATTTATGGTTGGGTATGGCTACTAAAACAAGTTGGTTAAAGAAAAGAGTTATGAGCACTGAATTCTAACATGAAACGTTGCCAGTGTATGCAATTTCAAGGTAGTCACAAGAATAAAATGAAACATAAATCATCAGAGAATGACTCGCCTTTCCCCCAACCCCAACTAACTCGATCCCATATCTCATACTCTCTGTGCCCTCTTCCCCATCCTGCTAATAAAACTGTATTCTAGATAATTGCTGTGAATGTGGTGGCAGATAAAGAATCATTACTCTTCTGATACCCAGCATTGGATATTGGTGGCTGGGCTCTTAGATGCCCTCCATTTAGAATTGTGCCCTCTCATTTACAGTCATGGACGATGAGGATTTAAGAGTTCCATCAGTGAGCGTGCTTATGTAAAAGGGTCAATAGCTCATTGAGACCTTCAGCCATCAGCTCTGTGCAGAGTGGGCTACTGCTGCAGTCCCTCTGGGGTTGGGTCATCATCTTAATCAGTATTTTGACACTTTCATTGGAGAAGAATTGCATAACATGTTCGACCTGTCCTTGGACAATAGAAATGGCAGAACAAGGAGAATACATGGGGGAGGACATGTGGAATTCCTCATGTATTCTTTAGGTAGTTGCGTCTCCTTTTTCCTTTCATGTGCGTGTGATTCCCGCGCTCTACCTGAAGACATATCACATGACCCACTTTCAAGCAGTGGAGGAAAAAAGGGCAGGAAGACTGTCTGCAGGGAAACTCCTCTGAACTAGTTATTTGACTGTGTAGCCAATTGGTGTACTTGACATTAATTTCGTCTACTTACATGATTGCAATAACAGCTGTTAGCATTAGTCCTCTGTTTGTGTGAGTGTGTGCCTGTATGTGCTTAACGGGTCTGTGCAATAATTAGTTACAGTACACATGACAAACTACTGGAGCCTGCCTTTGTATTCTTTTATTTTACATTAATTACCTCACTGGGACCACACACCCATAGAGTTCAACTTGTGGGTTCTACCATCATGAGCCCATACTGTAATATTCTTCAAACTAAAGTAACAAAGTACACAGACAAACATGTATACAAATAGATTATCCTTAAACAGACACAGAGGCATGCCAGCAGCCATTCAGACTGATGTGGCAAGTGCTCAAACCATGAGCTATATGAAAATAATGATAAAATGACTCGGTTACGAGTAGTTCAGGCAGGAACTTTGGTGTTCTGCTCAAACAGGACATGCACAGGTAGCTGCTGGCTCATTATCCCTCATTCCCTTAATTCATTGCTCTCATTTCAGTTCAGAGGAAGACTTTCCACATCTGCATGTCTCTTTTCAAATGTTTTCCTGACTGAAATAAAACATTTTACATTTCGTATTCTTTCTATTCATTTTCTTTCTATCTTCGGGCTAGACCAAATTTGCTGTGTGGACATGTTTCTTTGAAAACCGTTACCACCCTGTGGTGGGCGATGCTTCCCCTTTAATGTGTAGCAGAGAGGACAAGAGTGTCGGGGAGCGCAGAGCGATGGGGCGAGGCGCGCGTGAAGATCTTAGTATGCTCCGCGATGCCCGGCTGCAGCCCACGCATCTCAACTATGGTGAATTATGGTGAAATATGAGAGACATGGGAAGAGGCGGCAGCTCAAAAACAGTTGGTCGTGATGAGGTGACACATCCGCTGGACACATTAGTCAAATAAGGGAAGAAGGACAGCTATGAAGGAATGGACTCACGAACCCAAGGCACCTTTTAAGAGGAGACAAACTGGATAAAAATACATGCGTCTGCGCACCAAGAGAACCAGGGTGAATTCCTGCATGCCATTATCTGAAATATATGCTGTAGTCCGACAGATAACGCTATGCTGCTTTGTTTAGTGCATGGAGTCTATTGTGGCTGTCCATGATCCACACAGGAGAGGGTTGCAAATGGCTTGAGCATGTCTAGCACCTGCACTCCAAACTAACTCACTCGCGCTTGCCAGTCCACTACAACACTGTCGTGTAATGTTTGAAAACCCCAGTGCATGAACCGGGCTGCTTTGTCTCCAAATTAGGGGGAAAAAATAGGTTTGCATCTATGAAAAACGCCCTCAGAGGACTGCGTTTTTCCATGGAAAGGGTTGCGAAATTAAGCCTCCATTTGTTACTAATTTGCATCATTGGTGTATTGATATGGTTATTCCCCATCAGAAAAAAAGAGGGTGAAGATAAAGTAAACGAATTAACATTTTAACGAGCTAAAACAAAGATGGAAAACCCTTCAGGAGGAAGACGGACCTGTTTGGAGATCAAACAGGTGATTTCGCTTTAGATGAGATCTGCCATTGGTGCCACCGAGTAGAAATACTGACAACAACGCCTCCCGCAAACCTCCCTTCCCCAATAAGTCTCTGCAGATATCGCAGGATTACATTTGTTGTTGCAGGCGGCAGCGTATTGTTCTGAAGAGGGGGCGTGATATTTTGCTGATGCCAAACATTTTTTAGATTTGCTCACTTTATTCCCAAACCACAACCCCACCCCACCAGCTTCAACCTGTAGCCTTAGCTGCATCACAACATGTAACTTATCTGCTGGTCACTGAGGCGACCTCACGCCTTGTCCCATCTCCCACTTCTGCGCCGATGCAGAGCCAGAGCTTTGGGCGATATATGGCTGGCAGAGAGGAGCTGCTCTGACCGCGGGGGGCTGACTTTTGACCGAACACTTCTGCTGGGCGCATTACCACCAGAGGACACATTGTAAACAAGCATTACAAGCGTCAGTGCACATAGGTAGGACTTGTTTTTTTAAAATTCAGATATTGTTGCTTTAACTACGAAATCACACATATGTGGCTGTCTTTTAAAGTAAAATAGTGTGACCTGAACTAGGCCTAGTCTCCAAAACTATGCATCTTCATACATTTTGATTTTGTGCAGTGGCCTATGAAATTAGAAAGTTGTTGTCAACAAACAGCTCTGCTGTAATGCAGTGGGCTATGTCAACCATATGACAGATATGCTTAAATATAATACTGATAATTTGATCATTGATTTGATGAAGTTTTTCTCAGCTTTTGAAGGGAATGTTGGTCTCATACAGATTGTGTGGAGCACTCAGCATATAATCAGATTTGTTGGTTGTAACTGCACCCTGTGAGAGCTGATACAGTATTACTGGCTGGCATATTGATCCTGCAGTGTTCTCATATGAGAGAGAACTCATAACCTAATACACATAGACACAATGGAGCCAATGTGCTCAAGTGGCTCTGCCCCCCATCTCATGCTTGTTATTTTCAACTGCCCATCTCTTGCCTGTTTACAGGAAGGTCTTGAAATAACACAACATTTCTAGGAATTACTCACAATTTTAGTCAGTAAAAGATGTTCAATTTAACTAATTGATTGTTTCAGAAATATATACCAGTGGATACAAGTTATTAAATATGTATGCTACAAATCTAAATTAACTTTTTCTTGCGCATTGCCATCAAAACTTAACATGGAACACAATGGTTATCACAATAATCTTGCAGTTTTTCTCTGCTTTCTTTCCTGTAGCTCTTCGCAGACGGATCTTCCTGTACCCGAACCTGCGAGTGTGTGGTGCCTTTATCTCCTCGTGGCCCGCCGTGGCCACACCCTGTCTGAAACCTGCAGGTCCCATCTTCCTCCAGCATGACGGTTGCTACCAGCGACCCTGCGGACGAGGCCGCAGCACATCCGGGTCAGCCTCATGACCTGTATGACCCAGAGCTGGATCACGAATGTTGCGAGAGGGTCGTCATCAACATCTCAGGCTTGCGCTTTGAGACACAGCTCAAAACCCTCTCCCAGTTTCCAGAGACGCTGCTGGGGGATCCCAAGAAAAGGATGAGGTATTTTGATCCTCTCCGGAACGAGTACTTTTTTGATCGCAATCGACCGAGTTTTGATGCCATTCTGTATTATTACCAATCTGGAGGGAGGCTGCGACGGCCTGTTAACGTGACCCTGGACATTTTTTCTGAGGAGATCCGGTTTTATGAATTGGGTGAGGAGGCTATGGAAATCTTCAGGGAGGATGAAGGTTTCATAAAGGAAGAGGAGCGGCCTCTGCCAGAGAATGAGTTTCAGAGACAAGTGTGGTTGCTGTTTGAGTATCCAGAGAGCTCAGGTCCTGCGCGCATCATTGCCATCATCTCTGTCATGGTGATTCTTATTTCTATTGTCAGCTTCTGCCTGGAGACATTGCCAGTTTTCCGAAATGATGATGAGGAGATGTACAATTATCCATTACAGTCCATGTCCAACGCCACCTCTACCTATGACAGCTCAGCTTATTATAAGGATCCTTTCTTCATCGTGGAGACCCTCTGTATCATCTGGTTCTCTTTTGAGTTCCTAGTTAGGTTCTTTGCCTGTCCCAGTAAAGCTGGTTTTTTTGGCAACATCATGAACATCATTGATATTGTGGCAATTATCCCCTACTTTATCACCCTGGGTACAGAGCTAGCAGAGAAGCCAGAGGACGGCCAGGCAGGCCAGCAGGCTATGTCTTTGGCTATTCTCCGTGTCATTCGTCTAGTCAGGGTGTTTCGTATCTTTAAACTCTCCCGTCACTCCAAGGGGCTGCAGATCCTGGGACAGACTCTGAAGGCCAGTATGCGCGAGTTAGGCCTCCTCATCTTCTTCCTGTTCATCGGTGTGATCCTCTTCTCCAGTGCTGTCTACTTTGCTGAAGCAGATGAGCCAGATTCCCAGTTCAGCAGCATTCCTGAGGCCTTTTGGTGGGCAGTGGTTTCCATGACCACAGTGGGCTATGGAGACATGGTCCCAACAACCATTGGAGGAAAGATTGTAGGGTCTCTCTGCGCAATTGCCGGTGTGCTGACTATTGCCCTGCCTGTACCTGTCATTGTGTCAAACTTCAACTACTTCTACCACAGAGAGACGGAGGGCGAGGAACAGGCACAGTATCTGAATACCCCAAGTGTGCCTAAAGCCAGCTCAGCAGACGATCTGAAGAAGAGCGGTCGGAGCGGCAGTGGGTCCACTCTCAGTAAATCTGACTATGTGGAGATACAGGAGGCTGTGAACCACAGCACTGAGAACTTCAGACCAGAGGGCATAAAAACAGGAAACTGTACACTGGCCAACACTAACTATGTAAACATCACTAAGATGCGTACAGATGTATAATGTGAGCTACTGTACATGGTTAACTTCAGCTGGGGTCTGTCTGCAAGGGGAGGATTAAGGTGTGACACTATGTATTGAAAAATATATGGCACCCAGTATTTGAGTCCAGAGCAGATACGTGGGTTTAACTTGGAGAAAAGGTCAGTCAAGAGGACCTCTTGTTGTCTCAGATCTTGTGGACCTATCAGCGCATATCATAGAGTGACCACCCATCTTATTTAGGACATTGTCAGTGTCTGCATGGAGTTAGTCTTACCTATGTGACAGTAGTCACCCTGCTGGCAACAGTAGCCAAATAGTAGCCTAACTAGTAATAACCAATATTAACAGTGTTAAGGGACCACTAGTTTCTACCTTCTTGCTCAAACTGCTGCTGGGAGAAGATGCACGATAACAACAATTTACATCAGTGTGACATTTATTTAAAAATGTAACTTAACTTATTAACTTGTGATTAAAAGCAGGCCATATTATCAGCATTCATGAGCAACTTTAATCTGCCGCTCTAACTGCCAAGGTCCTGACTCAGAGAAAAACAAAGTCACCAAGATCACATCTCTACTGTCAGGGGAAAACTGAAATGCGCAAGAAGAGCGCAACAATACGCTTTTGGACCAAATGGTCCTTTGTTGCTTTCTCTGTCTGCCTGAGGGCCCTAGCATTCATCTCTTGGCCACTTCTAGATATGTCCAGTGCAAGCTAGTGGTTTCTGTTGAGACCAACAGATATATGATGTCCTGTGCTGTATTACCGGACCATAAATAGCACACCTTTTTCCTGCCATTTTTCTTCAATGAAGCTCAAGTGGATTTACAGTAAGAACACTCTCGCCAAGACTTTGCCTTTTTTTGTTTCCAGCCAATGCAGGCTAGCAGGTGGACAAAAGAAATGTCTCAGTAAACAGAATGAATGTTTATTTATTGTTGTGTATTGATTTGGTGTATGTTTTTTTAGTAATATGATGAATGTGTGCTTCTCACCTACATTTTTCGTTGATTAAGATACGTGATGTAGAAAGATAGTGATTGTTTTCTCGGCGGCATTCTGAGTGAGTGCCTATTTCTCCATCCTCTTAACTTTACCTAAAAGTGTCTCTTAAGCCGCCACCCTGGTCCACTGTAACAGATGTACAGTAAGAAGTGTTCAGTTTAACACTGCCCAGCATAAATGTTGCTGTTCTTGACTTCATATCATTCCGCGTTTGTAGAAATACATCAAATGAGATTAAGGGAGTAAACTATAATTACTTTCAACCAAGGTCAAGATTTATGGCAGCAAAGTTAACTTGTTTTATGTATAAGGCTTTTATGGTACTGTATTAACTCTAACAGTTTAAAAGGATTTCTTTAAGGACCAACAACCAAAGACAGAGCACAGTGATAAACTAAAATGAATCTATGACACCTTTAAGGTCATCGTTTCTCATATCACCAATGCCAACTTTGTGATACTCAGTCTGATTTCCACCCAGGGATCAATACAGTATTCTGATTGCTGGATAAGTGGCAAGAAGCAATGACATTTCTCCTCCTAAACAATTGCTAACAATTATTAAACTTTGCCTGCTTCTGGAACAAGTTAAAAGTGTTGTTAGCTCAATTATTAGATCACCAAAGACAAACTGCCACCTGGCATTCTGTATCCTGGGTTGTAAAAGAGATTAATTTTGTTCCCAGTATTTGTTTTTCTTTGTGATACTCAATGCAGTTTAAGCAATCATTCCATTGCCGCATTTTGCCCACATCATTCAGGACCAAGGCTATGTGTCCTTCATCCGCTTTTTATCAAACAGCAACTCTGCTATTGTAGTGCTGAATGTCCTTTGAAGTATTCATTGTAGCATGAATTAGTATGAATAATATTTAAAAAGCAAATTGGCATCAATATATTACTATATCTATACTGCGGCTATGTGCAAAAACTGTATGCTCTAAAAGTATATGTCATGCTTTGCATAAGCATCTTCTTGCCATTGTTATTTGAGATATTATTGAGTCCCAATCTATGTGAATTAGTTACCTAGAGAGGGTTGCGTGTCCACGGAAAGATTTAACTCTCACGAATGTATGGAGAAAGTAACAACAGGTTCAACATGAGAGAAAACAGGGACGGTTTGAGAGGGAAGGAGAGTCCAAATCCACACGCCAGACTCCACAACAGGGATAGCTAAACGTTTGATCAACATTTCAGAGGTTAACTAACGCTAGCTTAAGTTTTAACGTCTTTATAGTCAGTTGCAGTCACAACCCAGTAACTGTGTCTTATAGTGAAAGCACAACAGCAGCTACTACTGTATCTGCTGCCAGCCCAGTGGAAGCACAGATTCAAACAGTCAGTCGGGCAGAGTTTTTGCCCTGCCAAGTGCATCATAATGCTCCAAGGGACTGTCTGAGTGCGCTTATCTCTGATATATAGGCCCATCACGCTCAGTGTGCAGTGTTGTGTGTGTGTGTGTGTGTGTGTGTGTGTGCGTGTGCGTGTGTGAGTGACAGAGAAAATAAAAGAGACAAAGAGATTGTGAGAAATAGAGAGCTTTTAGACTCAGAGATTAGCACTTATCTAAGACACTGGTTTTCTTGACTCCAGGTCTATATATTCTACTCGATCTAAGCACACTGATTACAGCCTGTGCATATCTTCAACACATGCACGTAGTACATTAAACAAAGAGGAAGGAATGTCCTGCTACACTCACTAGAGATGAGATCTATGAGCATGTGTTGACTTATGAGATAAGCTGCAGTATCAGCCGAGTACTGGGGATTGCAGGAGGGAGAGGAAAGGTTGGGAAGGAAAATACGATAATGAAAGAATGATAAACTCTGCCCACACCCTCTTTTTCTGTCTGATCTGATGTGTACTTGTATTCTTTAAAACTGTTTTTCTGTACTGGAACACCTATGTGACTTTATGTGGCTTGAAAGCTTCGCCTGGACTATTGAAGTGAATCTCTGTCGAGACTGAAAACGTTCTTTTGAAGAAACCAACAGTCAGCATCATCTTAACCAAGGAAAACACATCTTTGCTGCGTCATTGCTGTACTCCACATACAAGAGGACACACACTGCCTGTGATGGTCATGTTTTGCTGTCAGGACAGACACCTATTGAACTTCAAGGCCACAAAGTGAATGGTCTCAAACCCACTATTGGTGGTGAACAGACGTAGCCATGTAAACAATGTATCTAAGAGTTACAGCTGCTTTCAATGATGTCTTGAAATGCCTAAAGCTTCAACTTTAAAACAAGCTTGTACAGATTCCTGTGTAGCGGGGAGTCAAAGTGTATGCTGGCTGAATTAATCCAAGAAACTTAAGTTGTATGTAAGTGAATTATCTCTTAGGTTGAATATGCTCCAAGGACTAAGGAGGGATTAAGGAATGAATAGGAAATATGATTTCTATGAGAACTTTAACTTATTTGTGTCATCAGACACCGTATAAATGAACTGTTGTTTGTTTTTTTCTATATGTTTTTCTATTTGACTGTTATTATCAGCTCACTCGGAGCAGGGACTGAGGTTTGACTAGAATACACACGCAGGCCTTGGTCAAATAGATTCTGTCTGTAATGTCTTAATACATATTTACCCCCAGACAACCAGCTCCTCTTACTTTATTTCCTCTACCTTCTTCAACTCTTTGCCACTTTGCTATTTGACACAAATATTGTGTGTATGAGATTTAGATAACCCTCAGCTTCTTCACTAGCTGTCTTTAGCTTTTGCAGCCTCTACTCAGCTTTCAGTATACGGTCTGTGTTTTTTCTTGTTAGGAAAAAGACTGAACCATGAAGCAAACCGTCCATTATTGCATAAAGGAAACATGGATCTGAACATTTGTCATGCCCTTCACGAGGACCTTCAGTGAAAACTGATTCATAGAGAATATTGATAGAGAATTACTGGCATCATTTAATATAGTTGCAAATTATAAACCTACTGTGAATATCATAATATCAATAATAACATCTTGATTATAACCTCAAGCTACTGTTGTGTCTTTCTTATGTGATCTAAAGAACCATTTGTGAAGATTAAGGGAAAAAGATAAACAAATTTGCAATTCTACATTAATAATGGACTCAGATCAGTTTGTCTCATAATGATATATTATCATGTTAGCCCAAACCAGCAGATTTTTGTCTTTTATGTTTTTCACCATTACTATATTCTTTGTATGTCTGACATTCCATAATTAAGCAGAAGATGATTCCTCAAACTTTAAATCAGTGACTGTTTTCATGACATCCAAAACATGGCAAAGTCCCTGAAGCATACAGTTTTGTATCATATCTAATTCTTCCTCGGTGCTCTTACAGCTAAATAGGGGCTGATGTATTTTTGTAGGCCAACCCCGGAAGATAGCTTCCCACTGGTTCCCTCGACAAAAAGTCGATGGGTTTCTTTCATTGGATTTTGGAATACGAACAAGTTTTGTGTAGCAAGATGATCTTACAAATGAACATCACTTTTATGATTTTTAAGCATGAATGCAATGGCCAGATGTAAAAAGCTAATGTCAGTCTCTGAACTAACTACATCACGGAGCATGAGTATACACAACAAGGTACCATATACAATTTAAATTGATGATTGCGTCACTGGAGCGGCCGCTCTTGTGTCCATTAAAGAAGTAATATTTTAATTGACTATCGACCCTTCCCTCAATAGTTTTTATGTCCCACTTCTCTCCTTAAGTGAACCGTATGCTCTGCGTAAGCTTCTGTTTATAAAACCAGCAACGGTGAACCTGAGGAAGAGAGAGGAGAGCAAAACGCTCTTGACTCCTGGTTCAACGTAGAGTGGGACAAGTACAAACAAACTCTGTATCAGTGCCATTTCATAGAGTTTTACACTTCCCCAGGAGATGAAAATGTTTATCTCTCCCCTCATTGTCTTTTCCTTGCGCTTATATCGCTGCTGCGTGAATTTGATCTCACTTACACTCTCTATTATTTGACCCTCTCAGATTTCCTTTCCCACACATTTTCTCTTGTGCTCATCTCTCTCCATCTCTGCCTCTCCACCAGCACTAAGCACCAAAGTAATGCACAGTGGGTGATGTGATGCTCCTCTCAGACATATATTAGGAGTATAATGCTCCCTCTGGTACACCTCAGTTGGCTGGGTTCCGGTATGTCAGCTAAGGACAGTATACAGGCATCCTTCCAGCTAACTGATGGGTATTGATCCACTGATTGCTGTTTGATTATCTACGTATTAAACAGAAGCTTGGCTCAAGTTTTCTTTAAGCCAGCCAGACAGCCACTATTCCTGCATCCTGCAACAATATCACACATCCCGTCTTACAATGCAATTCAGGTTGTTCCCTGTTTTTGTCCTGACTTGCGCTTTTACTTTTGTCTGCAACATTTATTTAATGATTTAAAGTAGCCAGGAGAAAATTATCAAAATAATGTGTTACCAATTTGTTTGACTGCCCAGTTTCTTTCATTTTGATGGACACAAGAGCATTTGTCTTTGTATGCTTTAGGGATATACCCAACAGACCAAGTGATTGCCTCACATGCTGTGAATATTTTTTCATAGCAAAATTAGCTGATTTACAACCTAATACACAGCCCAGTTGATAGCCTGTCAACCTTAGCTTCCTTTATAGCACACCAGGTTCCATAGGGGAAACCTGTGTACGTACTATGTGCATATTTGTACGTACGTCTGTGTGTGTGTGTGGAGGAGGGGAAACCGTTTTTATCACTCCTGTACCAACAGTGGAAGCCCGTTATAGTAACCTCCTCTATTAATAGCAGACACAGCATGTTTCCCTTATGTTTAAAGGGGATATCTCCTTCTTGCTTTGGATAGTTAAACAGCCAAAAGAACTGTGTATATTGCTTTGTTTATAGTCATTTTAAGTGTGGAGGACCAGCTTTTTTTGTTGGATCAGTAGTTTTTGTTGAACAAAATACATCAAATGAAGGGATGATGCATGGTTGAAATAGGGAGTGCGTAATAGAGGAGCTGGAGTGGGAGTTAGGTCAGACATTGGGTGGACGTATGAGAAAAGAAGGACAACACTGGGGATTTTCAGCTTGTCAATGTGTTTAATGAGCTGAATTGATTCATGAGTTTGGCCTACATTCTGTAGTCTGCTCTTCATCATATACCTTTACTTACAGCCAAACACAGCGCGGCAAGGGTCTTCAATGTTATCTTAGCTGATAAGATGTATTTATGGTATGGAATAGCTGTTTACAGTGAGTTGATTTTAAGAGCTGTGTTTAACATAGTGACATCTCTCATATTATTAGAAGATGTTCACATAAACCACATAAAATAGAGCGAGGAATTTCAAGACAATTTTTGTAAATAATACATATGGCATATAAATCCTTATTTCTGCAGTTGATTTGCAGATAGTCCAGTATATATGGATGACAAATCATAAATACATCCATATTTGACATAATGAGAAGGAGGCTTTTCCTATAAACCAAAAGGAAATCTACTGATATCTTTATTTCCCAACGTGCTGTTTATTTACTGTACTGTATCTGTCTTTATCTCAGCCGGCAACAAAGTTAAGCATGTGGAGGCAAAACAACCACAAGGCATAGGGTAACATGTGGAGAGGATTAACAAGATAGCCTAGTTTACCAAGCACGGCAGTGACCTAACCCTGACCTACCAACAGGAGTCCCCGCAGACCTTTTATAAAATAACAATAATCTGTTTTTTTTCTTCAGATGACATTAACTACATAACTAATAATGTTTTGAGAAGAAGGTATGTATGTTTAAAGGACAGAGACATCCACTCAACTAAAGGGTATCAATTAAAACAGTGAGCAAAAGGCATATCACATGCCCTCATCATTCAGCTACAAATACATTTCTATTGACTGAGTGGTCAGAGGATGAAGGGTTT